GATGTGAACATTATTCGGTCCTACAGACATATAGTGCTGACACAGTGTTAAAGTGAAGTTGATGTAGTTTTTATGTAAAAGGCTCCTAATGCATAAGGCCTGAAAATTTAAGAGTCCCTTTTTGAAGCATCCAAACCAGAAACAGCTGGTTGCTGAGGCAGGTAGTGAAGCTACCTGGAACAAGTTTTTGGTGTTTTGTTGTTTGTTTTTCGAGACAGGGTTTCTCTGTGTAGCTTTGGAGGTTGTCCTGGCACTCGCTCTGTAGACCAGGCTGGTCTCGAACTGCCTCTGCCTCCCCAGTGCTGGGATTAAAGGCCTGCGCCACCAACGCCTGGCTCTGGAACAAGGTTTATGTTGGACTTTTATAAAGGTAGTATCCATTGTAAATGTACACCCCCTGTTTTTTTCTTTGTCAAAATGCTGGGGATTTAGGGTTAGTTTATAACTCACATTAGGCAAAGCCTCCCAGCACTGAGCTTCAGTTTAGAGTTGTGATCCTACTTCTACTTTTAAAAATTAAAGGCCGTGAGGTGGTGGAGCACGCCTTTAATCCCAGCACTCGGGAAGCAGAGGCAGGCGGATCTCTGAGTTTGAGGTCAGTCTGGTCTACATAGTGAGTTCCAAGACAGCAAGGGCTAAACAAAATAAAATTTTGAAACAAAATAAATAAATTTTTGATACAAAAACTTGTTAATTATGTCTATAAAAACGCAAAGCCCGTCCATAGCTTCAAAAATAACGAGTCAATGAGAAACCCATAGAATGCTAACCTCGGAAAATCTGCAAGCAAAGAGCAGGAACTTGAGACTGGAGCCACCTACCTGCCTGTACCGCGCCGAGCAAACCTGGCGTCGCTCCAGCACAGTGACGCTGCCTGCAGCGACAGAGGCCTGGAGACCTTCCGACCTGCAGGACAGTACCTTCCACCCAGAGCTGCACGTGCTCAGCTGCTGGGACGCCTTGGCAAGAAGTTCTGGCCTGGCAGTCATATCTGGACTCAAGCCCAGCAAGGATCACGAGAGAGTTTAACCCGCAGACACCTGGGTATGTTCTCCAGGACGGCCCCGCCCCTTGTGAGACCTCTGAGCTTCCTGGTACTGGCCCCGCCCTCAACAGGTTTCCTCTTTGTGGGGCCCGCCCACTGTTAGGCCCTGTGCTCAGGAATTTGACATCTTTGGGAGTTGGCTCTTCTAGGCTCAGCCTTGTGGGGCTTCTGATGATCATTCTGGGGCTGGTGTAAAGCTGAGCCTTTTTGCCTTTCCCCTCGGTGCCACCCTGTCCTGCTGCGCAGCTTGGTCAACCCAGGACACCTGTCCTAAAACAGTCAACCAGCCTGCTATCTTCCTATAGTCCCCCAGGATCTCAGCTCTCTATCTGCTGGGGTGTCATGCTAAGGTTCTCATGGGGCCCTGTTTTGTTCACGCTGCCCCTGGGTACTCAATGACAGGCTAGCTCTCCCATCCGGCCTAGGGATGGCAGGTTGATGGGCTTGGAAAGGAAGATTTAAGCCATAGGTTGACAGCAGGTAGGTGGGGCTAGTAAGGGGCTGGACGCCATACTGTGTGTAGTTTTGGGGCAATCTGTATTTAGGCTGGTGCTGCTAAAACTAGAATTCCATGACAGGAGGTGGAATTGACTGATGGAATGACCTGGTCAGTTCAGGGGGGCAAACCAAAAAGCTCTTGTCCATGGGGTGCACAGGCACTGGGCTATAAGCAGTGTTGCAGAGACAGGCTCAGTGGTCTGGGTGAAAGAATGGGAAGGGGTAGCTGGGCATTTCAAGCCACCCTCATTCCTTCCTACCCTGGGGCTAATACCTACCTGCTTCACCACCTATTGTCCCTTTTGGCAGCCTTGATCTCACAGCCATGCCCTTTCCTTGGACTGAGTGGAAATTGGGAAGTGGCCACAACTCTGAGACTTGCCAGAGGGTACTGTAACTTGCCCCAGTTGGCCCCTACCCTTCTGTACAGAAATCATTCATGCACTGTCTGCCTTCACAAATGACTGAGCATTGTCGTAAAAGCTGGCCTAACACTACCCAAAACAGTATCTTAAGCTTGAAGTGGCAAAGACCCAGAGAGGCAGGAAGCTCAGCTCAAGGGGCTTAGCATCCAGAACAGAAAAGCCCTGAGTCCAGCCCCACCTGGTTTCTGGGGTTGCTCTTGAAATAACATACAAGTATAAGCCTGGAGAGATGGCACAGCCTTTAAAGGCTAGGCTCGCCAGCGTTGGTGGTGCACGCCTTTAATCCCAGCACTCAGGAGGCAGAGGCAGGGGGATCTCTGTGAGTTCAAGGCCAGCCTGGTCTACAGTTCGAGTTGCAGGACAGGCTCCAAAGCAATACAGAGAAACCCCATCTCGAAAAACCATAAAAATAAATAAATAAATAAATAAATAAATAAAGCCTAGGCCCATAACCAAAAGTATAATACACAAGTATTAAAATAAAGATCCGGGTGGTGGTGGTGCATGCCTTTAATTCCAGCACCTAGGAGTCAAAGGCAGGTGGATCTTTGTGAGTTCAAGGCCAGTCTGGTCTACAAGAGTGAGTTTCAGGACAACCAGAGCTGTTACACAGAGAAACCCTGTCTTGAAAAACAAAACAAAACAAAAACCAAACAAGCAAACACTCCCACATACAACTTATATACTCTTAGGGAGTGTGCTGGTTTGAATGAGGGTGGCCCCCACAGCTCATATATTTGAATGTTTGGTGCCCAGATGGTGGGCTATTCAAGAACGATTATGAGGTCTGGTTTTGTTGAAGTTGTGTCAGTGAGGTGGGCTTTGAGTTTTTTTTAGTTTTTGTTTTTGTTTTGTTTTGTTTTTTCCTTCAAGATGGGGTTTCTCTATGAAGTCCTGGCTGTCCTGGAATTAGCTCTGTAGACCAGGCTGGCCTCAAACTCACAGAGATCTGCTTGCCTCTGCTTCCCAAGTGCTGGGATTAAAGGTGTGTGCCACCACTACCCAGTCAAGAAAACCCCCCAATTAAGACACGTTTGTTTGTTGTTGTTGTTTTTATAAGCTTCCTTGGTCATGGTGTCTCTTCACAGTAATTTGCACAGTAACTAAGATATGGAAACTGACGCCCAGAGAGTTGAGGGCCCAGAGGATCTTCTGTGACTATAAGGATGTAGTTTGGGCTTAGAACACTTGCTCCTAGGCACAGGTGTAGTGCAGAGATGAAGGGTCGGAGGTTAGCAGAGACTGGAGTAGACAGATGCTGCACTTTTTCATAGTGATGGGACTTGCTGTAGAATGGTACATGGGAAATCAGTGGAGCACACAGTGAGAAATGGATATTGTCATAGCTGGAGTCAGGAAAACACTCCTCTAGAGTCTACACTCAGCTGGCATAGGCTACAGAGTATCCTCCTGCTAGACTCTCACTTGGAAATGGTGGGGGCTTGGAAGGAATGAGCCCAGATAGGGGTGGCTAACTCAGGGTGAGAGGGCTCTGAGTAACCAGGGTGAAAAGTTTGACGAGAGTCTGAAATCTCCTTTGTCCCTAGGGATGCTGGGCTGGACCACACTGTCCAAGGCTCCTGGCTTTTCAATCTGTATCTATGCTCAGTGTCGTCTTGTGATAGGAGTCACAGGCTGCCTAGCAGTCTGGAGCAAACAGGACACTGTCCCTTCCCTCACTCAAAGGTCTGTGGCTCTTCCATCCCTTCTCAACTGGTCATCAGCACTGCCCTGATGTGTGAACAGAGATGGCCCTCAGGACACCTGGACAGAGGCTTAGGATCTAGGAAAGCAGCACAGGAGACTGACGCTTTGTATGGGAGGGGTGGGAAAGCTCCACGGGATGGCAGGACTCTGGTGAAAAGAGCAGAGTGTTTTCAAGGACAGGAGGTGCATGCACCTCAATTTTTCACTTGTTTCCCTTCAGTACTAATGTGGGCTCTGTTGAGGCCCTGTCCCTTGGATTGCCCGGTGACATTTAGATTGTAGTGTGTCATCTAATTCACCAGTTGTACTGTAGTGCCCTTTCCCAAGGGGACACCTCTCACCAAAAGACACAAAAACACATGGTCTTTGCTTCCCTGGCTATCCTGCATTGGATCCTACTGCTGCCGTCATGGCTAGGGCCCACCCCAGTTGCTAAAGGACACCCACTTCTTCCATCACTCCCCTAACTAGCCACATTCCCAGTAGCACAATTCCACCCAGCAGTCCTTATAAACTCAGACAAAGGAAATGTCTGAGCACTTCAAATACCTGGAGCAGGAGTAACTAACAACAGGGCAGATATATATCGCTCACTCATTCATTCACATACACAAACACACTCCAGGGAAAGTGAGTGCTTGGTCTCTGCCCTGGCCAGACCCAGTAGGATAAGGACAGCTGTGGAACTCAGTCTTGTTTTTATCTGAATCTGGGGGTTGAAGGGGACCTTGCTCATGCCCCTCTGCCTCTCTCCCATGCATGCACAATGCACACACTCACTCTGAACTCAGCAATCCTGCGTCTACTGACCCCCCCACTCCCACCAACTGTGCTGAGCAAGGTCCTGAGGTCCCTCCCGAGGCTAGGCTTGAGGCAAGGGACACTGCGTGCTCTGTGGTGAGAGTAGCACTGGTCATCTATGAGCCACTGAATAGTGTTTTTAATTCCAACCCACTCCTTTGACTCCTGCTTATATACAGAGGCAAGAGTCATAACTGGGAGACAAAGATGGGATGTGCATCCTTCCCAGGGCAGCTGAAGGTGGTGTCCCCACCCCAGCAGGAGAGTGCTCCCTCTGGCTGTCTATTCGGTGATCCAGGTTCTCCTACCACCACCCCCGACTCAGTCCTCCCCTGAAGCCCACAGAGATTGCCTCAGTGCTGAAGCCCATAGAGATGGCCTCAATGAAATTATCTGCCATGGAGCCAAGGATGGATGTCCTGCTGACCCTCATAGTATTCCTGGGTGTGTGTCCCCAGGAGAAAGCCCATTGGCTAGGCCAAGTGGCTGTGTCCAGACAGCACATCTGCTCCTGGCTCTGTCTCTCACTGATGCCCATACATGTCTGCCAGCCGGGCAAAGCGGGGGCCCCAGTCCCGGAGGTAGTCATAGTCCTGGTCCTCATCTCCCAGGCTGGACAGGATGGAGCTCAGTGTCCCTGCTACAGAGCCATCTCCCTCGTAGTCATAGATGAGAGCTGTGTCATAGGGAGGCACGCTGGGGTCACTGTCCGCAGTCTCCAAGCCCTGTGGAAAAGCCCCACAGACCTCAGGATCATTCAGAGACAAGCCAGGAGCCTTCTTGTGCCCAGCCACTGCCAAACCTAAGTCTGCCTTGGGCATATCACCAGAGGGGAAAATCTCCCAGTACATAATGGGCTAGCAAAAGAAAGAATGGAAAGAAGCTGTCTCCTTGTCACAGGTGCTCTTACATCCCTACCCCCAGCCTCTCAGGAACCATTCCATAAGGGTCTGCCCTCCTCCAGAGGCAGTATCCCACTGCCACCCTGCCATCTGGTAACAAGTACCTGCACTAGGCTTAGCACTCCCAAGGATACCCCTGATTTGCTGGGAGCTTTCTCTGGGCTATGTGGGCCAGCTGTTAATAGGACATTCCCTGCATGACCCAACCTAGCCATCTACCTGACATTCTGATCATCTTTGGGGCAGACAGTGCTCAAACTGATGCTTTGTCCAGATGACTACATTGCATGTGCTGCCCACGACTCGTCACAGTGAGCACAAGGAAAGAGGTGGGAAACATGCAAGGGTATGTCTGCCTCATAGAGGGGCAGGAAACAACTGTGAAGACCCATACCGCCTGGCCTTCTGTGGCCAGGGAGCTTCTTATGTTTCACTCCAACCCACAGTGTTTGAAAAGGACCTGGCCAACCTGCACACTCAGACTCCTGCTGGTGAGCTTACCCCCTGACATCCTGTAGCGTGAGGACTGGAAGCAGGGTCTGGACATGAGTGTGCTTGTGCCCAGGTATGCACACAAGCATACATGCACCCATTCTGTGACCGACCCCAGGGCACCTACATCACTGATGAAGTTAGCAATGTCAGATGGGCTGGTGGGAAGCGCTCGATGTGGCTGTGGCCCGTAGCTGAAGGGGGCATCCCTGCGCAGGGGTGGCCTGCCCAGAGAGCGGCTGGTGGCCCTTGGTTCCACTGGGTGGCGCAGCTGGCTTATGTCATAAGCATCCTGTGAGCCAAATAAACAGTTGAGAGCAGCGGAGATCATGCGGTTGCCAGGCCTTCTAGGAGGCTGGTGGGCATCCTAGGGACCCCTTCCCAGGGCTCAATGTGTCTAAGCCATCACTCCTGTCTCCTCACCTGGTCCTCCTCCCCACCGCCTTGCTCATCGTAGTTAAGGATGTTGTCCCGAAGGTCATCCTGTAGCCCATACAACAGACTCTTGTCCCGTGGCTGCCGCCGGAACCGTGTACGGAGTGCAGCAAGCAGGATAAGAACTGTGGAAGCACGGAGACTGGCTGAAGTGTGGGCACTTAAAGGACATAGTGTAGGGAAGGGATCCAAGACAAGAGGGCTGGACGGAGGACCCGTACTCACCGAGCAGGACCACGGTGCTAGCGAGCACAATGACCAGTGCGCCCAGGCTGACACCCATACCTCCTGCTCGCAGTGCAGCAGCCCCAGGCAGGCAAGTGCCATCAGTCCCACAGCGACACACAGTAACGTTCAATGTTTGCTCTCGCTGCTGGGGTGGCTCCCCAGAGTCCTGGAGCAGCAGGCTCAGGTGATGCAGGCCCTCGGAGACCTGGTGTCGGAGCCGCAGACGTGCATGGCTCACTGCAGAATGCACAACAGTCAGCAGAAGCTCCAGGATAATCCCACTCTCGCCCAGAGAGTACCAGAGTCACTGGGTGCCAATTTCCCCACTACCCACTGAGTACTGTGGAAAGTAACCTCTGCCCCTGCTCAAGGATGTAGTCATGGCTATACATTCTGTTGGCCCATCTCCTAGGTCCCAGGGTTGTGGGGGCAGCGCACCGTTAATCTGGCTGAGGCTCCAGTTCCGGCCAAGATCTGGGACCCTGGGGTTCAGCTGGAAGTGGAAGGGAGCCCCGTGCGGAGGCAGGTCCTCATCTGTGGCACCCAAGAGGAGGCCAGGGCCCTGGTCTGGTTCACTGCACAGGCTGCCAGATGGAGGAGAGGCCAGTGCAGGGGCATGGTCATTGACTTCTAAGATCTCAATGGACAGGGTACCTGTGGCTGTGCTGGGTGGCATGGCTGGAAGCAGGAAAAAGCTGATAAGCTCAGGGCCAACCCACAGCCTATCCCATCAGTCCATTTAGGAACGTGCTGGACTGTGGGACAGGGACTCCACCCAGGGCAGGGATTTCCCCTCACCATTGTCTAGGGCCAGGATGATGGCCCTGTACCAGCCATCCTTCAAAAAGGGTGAAGCGGGGCTCAGCACTCGCTGGGTCTGAATCCTGCCTGTGGCCCCGTCCACTTGCAGCCAGTCTTCTGGGTCATAGTCCTTGGAGTAGCTGTTGGTGGGGAGGGGAGAAGTGGGATGAGGCTCGCCCAACACACCCAGACATGGGGTCACATGTCATATGTACAGACTCATGTTATCACATACACACCCATATGTGTCTCACAGGAGCTGTAGTTACCCAGTATTCAGCCTTTAAGGCCTCCCAGACCCAAGTTAACTTTGTTTTCTTTTTTATTTCATTTTGTATTTTAAATATTTTTACATTTCTTTATTTGAATGTGTGTGCACATGCATGAGCACCATGACCGACAAGGGGTGAAAGGAATTGGTTCTCTCTTCTGACCAGGTGAGTTCCAGGAAATGAACTTCCATGGTCAGGCTTGGTGGCAAGCACCTTAATCCACTGAGCCATCTTGCCAGCCACCAACCCCCAAAGCTGGTTATCTGGCCCAACTGCAAAGGAGGTGGGCTGCTGTCTGGTGCCCCTCAGCAACTGGCAATCTGCATTCCACCTTGCTCAGAGCTGGCAACATGGAGATAGATGGGAACACTATGCCAGGCTTGAGACAGATGGTGAATTTAAGGCATTAGTAGCTCTCCAGAGAAACAAGGGCCCATGAAAATGGACAGGTCGACAGTCAGAGACTGGCTAAGAACAGTCTTGGACTGCCCTGTGGGGTGTGGTCAATCCACATACATACATAGGTATCCTAGGGACTCAGTGCCCCATAGACCACCCTACCCCCAACCCCCGGAGATGTACACTGATAGCCTTTCTCTTTCACCCTCAGAATCCAGAGGTACCCTCCATACGAATGGGACCACTGATCCCACTGCCTGACCCCCAAGACCTCAGGGCACCCCACCTGATTCTCTGCAGCTGTTGAGTATCAGGGTCTCTGGCAGAGAAGGTGGCCACAGAGGTGCCCGGGGGAGCTCCTTCGGCTATGCTTGTCCTCAGTGGGTTCTCTGGAAACACTGGAGCCTCATTGGTGTCCTGAACCCACACACTGACCCTGGTCTGGCCCCGCCGGGCCCGGGGGGCAGCTGCCTGCAGTGGGGCCTCATTCTGCACAGACACTCTGAGCTCATATTGCTCACAGCTTTCATAGTCCAGGGGCTGTGGGAGGATGGCAGAGACAGCTGAAATCCAAGTACTAAGATGTCTCACCTGGATAGTCTTTCCCTGGGGCCTATCCAGAGAGCCCATTTTTCTTTCTTCCCCCTTTAAACCTTGGCACAATAAAAATTATGTAAGGCTCAAATAGTAATAGGTAGCAAGATGAATTCCTGCCACTCCAAATGAATTTGTTGAGTGTAGTATGGCAGTTTTACATGTCACTCAATGACTACAGTTTTTGTATGTAGTTGGTTGGTGGCTGTGCCAGTTGGTGCTAAGCATTGGGGCCATCCTGGCTCACAGTGGCCCTCCACTATGCAGGATTTGAGAGTATCGTGCAAGAAATTCTCCCTCAAGAGTTCCAGCCTGCCTCAAAAAGTTTCTTGCAATAAGTCTTCAAATGCACCAACATCAAAATGCATCTAAGTCTACATATGTGATTGCCTATACTTGTATTATGCATGGCACCTGCTTCTCTGGTAGGACTAGGACTTGTGCTGGTGCAGTTTTACTTGAAAATGTGGATTGCACTAATAAGGAAGGAGAAGGCTGTAGTAATGGCATTCTGTGGGTGCCTCCTGCTGCCCAGTTCTGCTAAAGACCTGTAGTCAGCACCCAGGCCATCCAGTGCCCTTACTCCAGGAGGTCACCTAGCACAGTTCTACCAGTAAGGAACCCAGAGCAGCTCAAGCTGCAGGAAGATGCCTGTGGCAGATTCTAGCTAAGGGAATGCATGTGACAGGGACACGCCTCACCTTGACCACAGCCAGCACACCTTCATTTGTCTTGGGGTCTGTGTAGATCTTGAACTGCCCATCAGGATCACCTTCCAGGATGGTGAACCTGGCCACCCAGTTAGGGGAACCAGGCAGGTCTCTGTCCTCCACCTCGAGCCGTCCCACGTCCACTCCACTGACAGCCTCTGCAGCTTCCATGAAGAACTGTGGGATCCCGCCCCAGTTACTCACAAGATTGGCAGAGTGGGAGTGGGAATGGTCAGAATGCCTGGCCCTATGACCCAGGGTGCCTCTCTTGCTTCTGGCCTAACTATACTGCTCACCACAGCAGATATTTCACAGGTTTGTGTTTTCCTGAGCTACTGATCCCATCTGCTGTAGCTGTTCCTGGATACTGGACCAACTATCTTCCTCACACAGCAAGCGTCCAGGAGACTTACTCTAGGTTCAGGGCACTGAGGGTACTGTGTAGCTGCTGCTTTCTAAGGAACCTTACATGTAATCTGTGTTCCTGGGGACTCTGTATGTCAGGCTCCCTACTCATGCACTGCCCTTCCCAAGCCTTGAAACCACTCATTTTCATGGAGTCCCTGACTGGAACCTACAAAGGGAAGGCAACCCTAAGCTGGTGGGGGTGGGCAGAGGCAGCACCTCGTCCTTGGTGAACTCAGGGGCATTGTCATTGATGTCGTCTATGGAGATGATGGCAGAGGCTGTGGCAGTGAGACCATCTCCCGACATGTCTGCCACCTGCAGGGTCAGGTTATACACAGCAACCACCTGGGGACAATGTGACATAAACTCAGAAGATGAGCCATCTACAGGTTCACCCCTTACAGGGTCCGCCAGCTTCAGCCTGTGAGTGAACAAGAGGTCAGGAGGTCAGTTGTGGTACCGGAAATGTCAGATGTTAGGGGCAGCAGCAAAGAGATTGCTGGCTGAGGGAGCCACATTAGTGGCAGCTGCACAGTCGAGCCTCAGAGGTGTCTTCAGGTGTAAGTGACTGGCTCAGAGGGTTAGAGCACAAGCAAAGGAGGACCAGGGTGAGAGTTAGAGTCACGGTGTAGGCCGAGAGGTGGGAAGGCCCCGCCCTGTGAGGAGCCCTGAGGCTTTAGAAGACCAGATGTGGAGAACTGGGCCCTCAGTTGTCCAGTGGGGCTGCCTCACCTCACGGTCCAGCCCCACTTGCACTGTGCGGATCTCTCCAGTATGCTCATCAATGCTGAAGAACTCTGGGCTGCCCTGCTCCAGGATGGAGAACCTGAGTGCTGCATTGTCTGTCTCTGGATCATCAGCATCTGTGGCCTCAGCCCTGGTTACAAAGGTGCCTGGAGAGGATGGGAAAATGTGCTCAACCCATGGGGGCAGGTGTGGTGGGGCACCCAGTTGGTGCGGAGTGCTCCCAGTGTACACAGCCTCCCTAGGTCTGACACTAAGCACAGAGTGGTAGCCTGCTTTTGCTACTGTCTGTGCCACTGGGACTGAGGGTATATAGCAATCTCAAGTCCAGGGCACTCTCACTGCCTTGCCTATACAAGGCTAAACATTGCAGGGCCATTTCAGCGGAGAACCAAAGTGTCTTCTACCAGATGCCAGGTCAGCAAGTAGAGCTAATGTACCGGGTCAGAGTGGTAAAGCCACTGGGATCCTCTGACAGCCTTGAGCTCTGCTCTAAAGGATACACATACACCAGTACAGAGCAAAGCAGGGACCCAGCATCCTCCAAGGTGAAGCCTGTGGGGAAGCTGTGGCCATTGGGAAGGTGCTACTGGTTGAGGTCCCAGCACAAGGACCTGTCACCCACTTTCCCCTCAGAAGTGATTTGGTCTGGCTCTCCCTCCAGAACAGATGTAAGAAAGTTGAGGCAGTGGAGTGGGTCAGGGTGGGAAGACAAGCTTCTGGGCACCCTGTGTCTCAAGCTTGGCTTGCTCACCTGTGATATCATTTATTGGATGCACTGCAGTAAATACCAGTCACTGCCTCAGGCCTACCTTGCACAGACAGGAGCTACTGACTGGGTGATTTCTACATAGTACTGGCCCCTGGCCCCAGGATGAGCCAAGGACAATGCTTCCAGCAGGCTTTTTTTTTTTTTTTTTTTTTTTTTTTTTTTTTTTTTTTTTTGGTTTTTCTCTGTGTAGCTTTGGAGCCTATCCTGGCACTTGCTCTGGAGACAAGGTTGGCTTGAACTCACAGATATCCACCTGCCTCTGCCTCCCGAGTGCTGGGATTAAAGGCGTGCACCACCAATACCCGGCCCAGCAGGCTTCTTGATCATGGGACTCTGATTACCAATCCCGTGCTCTGGGAGTGTTCTCTGGCAAGCAGGTAACTAAGTATAGGCATGAGGAGCCAGTTCTCCCATCAGAGAAGGGGCTGAGTGTGCTGGTGGAAGGGACCCTGAGCTGACTTGGAAGCAGAAATATCACTAGGAGCTAGAACCAGTGTGCCATGACTCATGTAGGTATGAATGAGTTCACATGTAGTGTTCACATGCACATGTCTGGATATGTCTATATTCAGATATAAGCACATTTCCCAGATGCATGAAACATCAGACTGTGACAGCAAGAATCATAACTTCAGAGTCTAGAGCAATGGCTAAGAACCCTAGCTATTCTTCCAGAGGACCCAGGTTTAATCTCTAGCACCCACCTGGCGATTTACAACCATCATAACTTCAGTCCCAAGAGATCTAATGCCTTCTTCTGGTCTCTATGCACCCTGCACACACATGGTGTACAGACAAAACACTCATACACATGCAGTAAGAAGAAGAAAGAAATGCAACACAAGTCTACCCAGAAGAGAAGAAGCATTTCACACAGGCACTGGGGAGAAGGGCCACAAAGGACAGTGAAAAGCTGCCTGGGAAGTGAGCAAACAGTTTTAGCTCATTCCTGTGACACTAACAAGTGTCACAAGGACCCTTTAAGGAGTTGAAGCTGGCAGGAGAAGCTTGAGGCATAATGAGAGACATGCAGTCTGGGCTGGAACTGTGAGAGAATATCTGTGCCCTGGTGCCAGGCCTCTTCTGCTCTACAAAAAGGGCATGCCCACGGGTTTTCTGCCCTCCTGCCCTACCCAGCAGGGTTGCTCTTGAAGACACCAGTCCCTCCCTGCCACAGGGGACAAGTCCCAGGGCGGGCAGGCCACTCTACTCCAGGGGACTGTAATGGCCAAGTACTGTGTGGGCCTGGTAGAGGGAGAAGGCACACAGGGAACAATGGCAAAATCAGAGGAGAGGCAGAAAGAAAGGAGCCTGGTAAAGATAAAGAAGGAAAGGCCACGGAACTAGAACACCTGACCCAACTGTTTTCTATCCTTACAAATTCATTATTACAACTGGATAAGGTCAGTAGACACCACACTTGGGTGGTATGCACACGTATTTCCTGACTTTGGTAATTACAAAGAGCTGTCAGAACACACTGACATTGTAAGAATGTTCAGTATCCAGTCCACAACCAAACAGCTGAGTGAGAAGACAAAAAAAAAAAAATGTTAAACTGATAACCAAGTCCCTGCAATGGGCACCCAGGAATTGTTTTAGGCTTTTCTGTAATCAAATAAGAATAAAGATTATAAATAAATGGACACTGTTACTTTAAATCTTGCAGAATGAGTAAAAGGGATGGCAGAGAACTAACACGAGTGGCAAAGAGGGGTAGGGCTGGGCTGCTCCTGTGCTCTGGGATCCTGAAGCCCTTGCCTAGTCCCAGTTTGAACACATTGGGAACAGGCAGTGGGGGGCGAAGTAGTGGGTACAGTGCTCTGCCTGGCCCTGCTGACCAGACTGTCTGAGGAAGGACTGGGGTATGATTTTTGACGGGGTATTTGAGGCAAGGGCAGAGTCTCATGTCGTCAAGCCTGGCCTCAGATTGGTTAGGTAACTGGAAATGACCTTAAACTCAGGCTCCATTTCTCAAGTGCTGGGCTCATATGAGACCAAACTGCACCTGAAACAGCAGCCAGAGGAAGTGCTACTCCAGGTTGTGGAGTTTCCTCTGGAGGATAAAAAGCACACTTGGGCAAGCTTGGGCTCCGAGGAGTCACTAAATAGGGCTGCACAGCTCACTGAAACACTCAGCTTCATGTTACGCAAAGTTCTCCACCGTGAAAGGAGGGTGGAACACGGCCACCCAGAAGCCTTTCTGTGCAGGTCAGTTTTTCTTTTGGTGGTGGTGGGGTTCCAAGACAGGATTTGAAGGTCAAATTCATATTGCCATGGGAAGTATAAAGGAGACTACTTCCTTACACTCACTCAGCCTTTTGGATGACCTTTGAATTGCCAATTCTGCAGGGCTAGGGATGAACCCGACATGCCAGCCAAGCGCACCCCAAGGAACAGGGGGGCAAGGGAGTGGCTGCATCTCAAGTCCTTAAACCCTTGGTTGTGGGGAATTTTGGACTTGGACCTTCTGAAGTTCCACCCCCTGGCTAGGGTCTGGGCTCCCACCTCACCTGGGATGGCACCCTCCAGGATGTGGCCTCGGAAAACATCCTGTAGGAAGACTGGCCGGTTGTCGTTTTGATCCACCACAACGATCTCCAGGTCTGTGGGCTCCTCTAGGGTAGAGCCACCCAAGTCCAGGGCAAAGGCCCTAAGCTGTCCAAACAGAGGGCAAGGGCGGGCTCATGACTCCTAAAGCCATGCAAAAGGAACAGCATGTGCCCATTGGCACTCACTCTGCAGACCAGGCTGATCTTGAACTCACAGAGATCCACCTGCCCCTGCCTTCTAAGTGCTGGGATTAAAGGCATGCACGATCACCACCCAGCACGAGGTTACAATATTTTAAGCTGTTTCTTTTTGGAGAATGGCACCACATAATTTCCAAACGCTTAGGACGCAGAGACAGAATCTCTCAAGGATGTCAAAGAAATCTTGGAGCCAGGTGTGGTGGTGCACAACTTTAATCCCAGCACTTGAGAGGCAAAGGCAGAAGGCTCTCTGTGAATTTGAGGCCAGCATGGTCTACAGAGCAAGTTCTAGATAGCCAAGGATACACAAAGAGAAACTCTGTCTCAGGGAAAAAAGAAAAAAGAAATCTTGGTTTCTGGAAAAGTGGAGGCAGAGAGCTACCCTGCCTCCAGCCAGATAGGATGCAGTTCACAGCGTCCTGGCTACAGTACATGGGTTCCTAGTGGTTTTACTTGGTTTTATTTTGTAACAGGTTTCTGCTGTGTAGCCCAGGCTGGCCTCAAACTCATGACCTTCCCACCTTAGCCTCCTAAGCATCATAGGCCTGTGATATTATGCAAAGCTCTATTTATTTATTATTTATGTATTTAGTCATGTTGGGGATGGGATCCAGGGCCTTTACATGTTAGGCAAGCACACTACATCTCAGCCTGGCAGATGGCTATTTGCAGAGAACCCAAAGGAGGCCCTAGGCTCATCTCTTGGCCTTGTGCACACCTCAGTGTGACTCTTAGCTCCCTTCTGAATCCCAATACTGTAATGGTAGTGAGGGCCCTTGTTGGCCAATCATACCTCAGAGACCATTCCCTGCTGCAATAATAACACTGTCTGGGAATTTTCACCAACAGAACCTGGATCCAGGAAGAACTGGCTATCATGTCAACTCAGCAGTTGCTAAGATGCTCTATCCTCCAAATGAGGCCTACTTCATGGGCTCAAAATGCCCCTATGTTAAGTGGGAACATGATCCCAAACACTGAATCCTCAGATGTGGGTCCTGTGGGGACCAGATCTTGTTTCAGAAGCATCTGACCTACAGCCTGTCAGGTGTGGAGCAGAGGCCTGAGCAAGAGGAAGGACCAGGCCCTACCCTGAATCGGTCCGTCTTCTCACGGTCCAGTGTGGCATTGAGGTACACCCTCCCAGTGAACTTGTCAATGGAGAAGACATTTCGGGGCTCCTCATCCACACCGGGCCCCTGGATGCTGTAGATGACACTGCCAAGCTGTTGCTTATCAGACTTGATCTGTGGAGCAGGAATGGGGCTTAGTGAGGGCCAGAGGGTTCCCCAACATCTTCATGCTCTTCCCCAGCTAGGTGCACAAAGGTCCAAGGCTCTGAAGCCCAACACATTTTCCTCCTAAACTGAAGCTCTGCTCCAGGGTTCCTTGGGACCCGGTAGCCAGTCACATTCTGAGTATGTAGAAGGTTGACTGTCCATGTCACAGGTCTACTTGTACTGGTGAATAAACAAAGCGTATGTCTTCCAGGGACATATAGCCTGGAGCATATCCACTGGACTAGCTCAGGGTTCATGTGGCCCAGGGCTATGGGAGCTGTGCTTTTGTTCCAGAAACTCAGAGTGACAAAGTGGGAGAGTCCTCCCTAGGCTGTATGCCTAGCTCCTGTCAGCAGATGGGGCTCCTCCAGATCCAAAAGGATTTTTAAGAAATGAGGGAATCTATAGAGGTACCCCATTCCCTCCTCCCAGCCTTCTCTTACCTGTACCAGCGGGTAGGGGAGGCGTTTGTGGTTCTCAGAAACACTGATGGGTGGAATGACCCAGGCTCTCCGCACACGGCCCGGGGCTGGTGCCTGGCGCCAGAGGTACAGGGTGCTGGGCTCTGGCTCAGGGACTGCCCAAGACAAGCCAAGACTCTGAAACACAGATGGGACACAGCTATATAGGACACAGGAGCACCAGGATGACATCATTTTTAGGGCTGTGGTTGGGCCTTACACCACCAGATGGGGTCACCACAAAGAATACAGGCTATGTGGGCCTTGGCAGCCACATCCTGGGGTGTTTAACTCTCTGAGTTCCCATACAGGTGTTCTATACCTGTTTCCTCTTCTTGACTAGAGCCCAGAAGATAGGCTCTGTCCACAGGGTCATCAGACCCACAGAAGTAGAGAGTTTATTGGCTGGTTGGAGGTAATGTCGGGGTCTGCACTTTTCCTGAGGTCCCTGAGAGGTCAGGTGCCAACATCCCAGGAAGTACCCAGGGGTGACTCTTGCTTCTTAGGAGGGCTGGGGGGATGAACATCAGCTGGTGGGTCCGGGGACTCAGTCAGAAGTAGGGCCACTGACTTAGGGTGGGAGATGACATGTGTCCTTCCTCAGCCTCTGCTTAAATGTCACAAGTTAACAGTAACAGTGTCTGCTTTTATTAGAGGAGGCCAAGTGTGGGGAGGGGCTCCTAAGCATCTGTGTGCAACCTTCCTCCAAGTAGCTCATCTGAGCCACCCAGGGCAGCCAGACCCAGTGTCTGAAACCTCCCTCTGCCACCAGGCCTGGGGCTTGACACTTCCAGAAACCAGATCAGGGAACTCGAGAGTAGATGGCTCCTCTGTTATGGTCTACAGTGGGAACAGAGAGGGCCCTCCCTGCTCAGGGCCCCTCATCTAACTTCTCAATATTGCTTTTCAGAAGCAATATTGAGATTGAACAAACTACCAATCCCCAGTGCCGAGGGCAACAAGGAGCTTATTTAAGCTGTGTTGTGCAGTGGAATCCTAATGTCTGTGGGCCTCGTTTGCTGGCCAGACCAGTCTGTGACAAGGATGAGGGTATGGTGCAGGGCCAGGGAAGACTTGCCCTACAGATGCCAGGAACTGGGCTGGGCCACAGCCAGAGCTGCTCCAGGGCACAGGGTGCGACAGGGCTTGCTGTGTGGCTCAACCGAGAGAGGGCGGCTGGGAAAGAGGGAGGCCTTGTGATTTTCATAACTGGATCAAAGTCCTGGAAACCCAAGGCTCTTGGGATATACTGTTCCTCTTCACCACACCCAGGTGGCGACCCCTAGAAGCACTGAGCCAATGGCTCAGTGCATAAAGACACTCGCTCCCAAGTTGGACAACCCCAGTTTGATCTCTGGAAGTCACATGGTAAAAAGAGAATGGACTTCCACAAGTTTTACTCTAGCCTTCACATGTTATGTGTATGCTCCCACCACAATAAGTAAATGTAATTTAAAAAAAAAAGCAGTGTCTGGAGCTGTGTGGCTGCAGACAGGAGGTGAAGTCAAGTTACCACGCACAGAGGGAGCATCACTGAGCCCCATTGCCTGGTTATGACCACAGAGTTCCCCTCCCACCCAGGGGGAAACTACAGACTGGGCAAGAGACTCATCTATCAAATACATGACAGAATGCACAGCAGCTCCCTAACCCAGTTCTCACTGGCCGTTTCCATCCCTGGTTTCTGGATGGATCTCACCCCGAGTGCCCTGTCCTCCAATTGTTTCTTGTTATACTCCTTAATTTGGAGGGACGTTGAAAACCAGTCATGTGAGGACTTTGGGGACACCCTTGTGAATACTGGCTCCACTGGTATTTCTGAAAGACCCCTCACCCCAAAGCACAGCCCAGTAGAGGCTGCCATGTTAGGTGTGGATGTTGGCCTCATGTTGACCTCACCTTCTACAACACGGGATGGCTAGGAACAAAGCGTAGAGCAACCTCATGCTTTCAGGGTGCAGCAAGGTTTTAGGCCAATGCTGGGTGGGCCATAGCCTGGCAGGAATTGTGGAAGTGATGGGTGCTGGGGGCTCTGGCACATGGGGACTGCAGGGTTTAGAAACACTCTTAGTATTTATACCTGTCCATGGCTGTACTCCCCCCAGGTCCACAGGAGGTCCAGGGCCAGCAGGGCTCAATCCTTCAGATTCCTTGCTAGCCGGCCTTCTTGAGCCAGGGCCGGGGTTGGGAGATTCCATTCTCCACCTCAGGGTGGTTCACATGCCTTCTCTTTACATTTATTTTGGGAGCAGAGGGACACATGCCATGGTACATGTGTAGAGGTCAGAGGACAACTTACAGGAGTCAGTTCTCTCCTTCCACTATGTAGGTTCTGGGAACACTGGGATCTTAGATGGCAAATCCTTAATCTGCTGAGCTGTCTTGCTGCCTGTTACATGCCTTCTCTTGGGTGACTTCCCTCCTGACACTGTCATGTTCTGAATCTGTCCTTTCCACAGGTGCGGTCTCAGAGGACATGATGCAAAAGTAGAGCTGTGTTTTCAATTCTGTCTCATTCTAGTTAATGTAAGTAACTTCTTAGGGCCAGCAGCTGCCTTTGCTATATTCAGTACCAGATGCCAGCCATTAGAGCTATGCCCAGCCTTAGCAAGGGTGAGACCCAAGGGGTCCCTGTATGAGAACTCACAGTCAGCAGGGGTTGCTGTGTGGAAGGGGCTCAGACTCCCAACTGCCCTCAGCTCAATCTTCTCTATTTTGTTATTTGGTTTTGTCCTATATAGCCCAGGCTGGCCTCAGACTCACTATGTAGCTAAAGATGACCCTGCACTCCGGCCTCCATTTCCAAAGTGTGTGTGCCTGAGTACATGTGTACGGTCTACATACAGGTGCCACAAAGTCCTCCCTCTTTGGGGTCACCCCATTCCTCTCTGGGACAGATCCTGGGGCTGCCCATGTGGAAATGGGGTGCTGAATGGTCCTCAGGATAGAGCAGGGCTGTCAGTATGGAGGGCAGGGCCACCACACACAGATGCTCCAAACACAGCATTGACCATGCTGGCCCCACCTTCAGCATGACTCCCACATAGTCAGAGCTCTGTCCTTTCCTGCCTCTCCTTCCCTCCCTCGGAACGACAGGTGGGCTGGTATCAGGTGCTCCAAGGCTACCTAACTCATAGCTTTCAGTCTTACACCCACATATAGGGAAACTCCCACTTGCAAGGACCTTGAGCAAGGGAGCTGAGAGGCCCTGGTAGGGAACAGAAAGCAGGCAGCCAGTTTCTCTCTGTAAGAAGGTCACACAGAGGCTGGAAAGATGGCTCAATGTTTAAAAGCACTTACTGCTTTTATAGAGGACCCAGGGTTCGATTCCTAGAACTCACACAGTGGCTAACAGCCCTCTGCAATTCCAGGCCCAGTGTTGGGAGGGGATCTGACATGTTCTTCTGGTCTCCTCAGGCACTGCATGCTTGTGGTACACACACATTCAGCAGGCAAATCACATAAAAATAAAGTTAAAAATTATAAAAATAAGGTTGTGTGAACAGCACTTACACACAGGGAATCCTGGTGTGAACAGCACTTACACACAGGGAATCCTGCCGGCAGGGCTGGGCCATACTGCAGCACCTCCTCCCTCAGAGTCCATCAGCTCCCATGGCTGCCTGAGTGCTCACTCTGTGCAATCCCGTCCACTACCCCCACCCCAACTTCTGAGTTTAGTCTCCCCTTCAGATATATCCATGGTTAGCGGGGATGAAAAACAGTGGCTGGCTGGGGGTGGAGGTGCTTCTGAGGGCAGCAGGGAGGGAGCAGCCAGCTCGCCAGGAGGCTACTTGGGATTTCAGCCTCTCTGAGTCTCTTCCTGCAGCACACATGGATGTCCAAGGCTCTGAAAAGTGGTGGCCCTGTGGGCACCTCATGTAGCCTTCTTTGAGCTTACTTACTCTTCCTTTTTTTTTTTTTAATATACAGTATTCTGCCTGCATGCAGAAGAGGGAACCAGATCTCATTATAGATGGTTGTAAGTCACCATGTAGGTGCTGGGAATTGAACTCAGGCCCCCTGGAAGAGCAGCCAGTGCTCTTAACCTCTGAGCCATCTTTCCAGTCCCCCATAGCCTGCTTTGGGATCACAGGCTTTGGCTCAGTTTCTGCTCTCCTGTCCTGTTTGCCAGCTATGCTGGGAGCACTTGCTTACCTGCTACCAGTAGGGCCCCAGCTACCTACTCCACAGCCCCTCATGGCAGCTGAGGCCACCTGCATAAAGTCCTGTCATCCACTTGGTCCTAGAGTCCAGAGAGCAGAGGGATCTGTTCAAGATGGGAGGATGAGTCTGGAGGGGCCAGAGTCCTGCCTGGGCAGCTCTGCCCTCACAGATGGCGTCTTGGCCTTAGAACCTGACAAGGCCAGCACACATGGCCACTTCTAGGTCAGAGCGGTGTTCCTACCAGGCACACACCTGCCTGCTTGGCATGGGGAACCTGGGGCTACAGCCTTTATGAACACAGGGGCTTTTTGCCAGAGCTTGATGGCAGACCCTGAGATGTGCCTGTGAGCTGCCTTGGGGGAAGTCTGGCTCCATATTTCTCCTCTGAGGATGGCATGTGGGCTGGGTTGGGTGGGTGGGAGAGTGGAAGCACCTTAATCCATAGCTCCAAGACAGGGTCAGAGAGGCTGAGTCATTTGCCCAAAGTCACACAGGCAGAGTTGGCACCATAGGGCATGTCAGGCAAATGCCATCTGTAGTGCCTGCCTTGCCTTGGGCAGGGATGTTGAGAATGGGAGTTCCCAGGCTCTTTGAAGCCCCTGTGGCCTGGGAAAGACTTCCTCCCTCTTAGTCCTGCTTCCTCCACCAGCTGCTCTAGCCAGCACCCATGGGCTTGGCACTGACGGGTGTAGTCCAAGCAGAGCCTGGGAACCTTGGGTCCCTGGCCTGTTCACAGCCCAAGTTGATGAGGTCACAGAACCACAATGCCTTGGCAGGGCCCTGTGCCCAGATCAGAGGCTGCAATGGTATGAGTGGGCGACCAATGGGCAGGCCACAGCCAACTTCCGGCTCTTGGGAGGTATTTGTGTAGTCCATCCATTCTGTGTCCTCTCACCCTGTCACTTTCCCAAAGATGTGGCAGGATGGAGGCAAGGCTGGGGGCTGCCTTGGGAAGCTAGGACAAAGCCACGTGGCCCCAGCTGGCTCACAGGCTACCTACTTCCAGGACAGAGGACAAAAACAGAGGCACCTGGAAAATGACTTTGTGGACAGGTGCTCCTACACTCTGGTCTACTCCTCTGTCCCCCTCCCATCCCACCCCCACAAACCAAGCTAGACAGAAGCTAGATAGGAAATAGACTCCTTTCCCACAGCAGATATCCAATCCCACCTCACCCCAGCCCTGCTCTTGACCAAGAACCAACCCAGACGACAGTCTGGAAACTCCTTGAGCCATCTGGGGCCACAATTCCAAACCTACACTCCTAGGTCAACTACCCTCTGGGGTCTTTCCTAACCTCTAACCCCAAGGAGCTGCAGGGTGGCAAGGGTCTTGCCGTACATGGAACATGTGATTTGGCCAGACAAGAGGCTTACCAACATACCAATGGAAACAGCATCAGCCATTGCCAGTGTCCAGCCCTCCTGCACTCTCCTGCACTGATCCTGGGCAGAGAGGTTCTGATGACAGAGACGGGAAAAAGTCCCAAGTGCCCTAGCCATGACAACAAGGTGTCTGTTCCATCTTGGCAGAGCTAATGGCCTGGGATGGGGGTGGGGGCACAGGAAACCCCTACACTGGCTCTCCACAGGCTTCTCAGGCCTGTACACCTCCCACAGGCTGGAATCCATGACCACTTCATTCCTGGACAACCAGCATGCCAGGAATGAGCCCAGCTGTTGGCCTGGCCTAGGGTGGCCCCCACATTCCCGCTGTGGGACCACCCTGTCCAGCTGCTGCAGCCATCAGAGAGTGAGGAGGGGGCAGACAGGCAGCTGTTCCCTCCCATCAGGCTGGCCCTGTCTGTCTGACAGCGCAGACTAGGTACAGTACTCAGAACCACGAGCAGCCTCCCTCTAGCCTAAGTCACTGCAGACTGCGGCTGGATCCGCTGGAGATGAGGCCCTTTTCCCAGCACCAGTGAACAGTTCCCAGAAGTGCTGCGGAAGCTCATCTTTCCTTCAAAGGCCATGTGGCTTCCTTGGTTCCTAGACAAAGGAGGGTAGGCCCACTTAATGGATGGAGGCCTCTGGACCATCCATGTTCCTTCTCAATCTACCTCAAGACTAGCAGCTAGAGAGACTGAACCCCCAAGTGCAGGGCTGTGGGGGTCAACTTTATGAGAAGGAGTAGTGTGTATGTGAGATACTGGGATTGGACCCCAGGTTTCAAATATGCTAGGTAAATATTCTACCAGTGGTTACATCCCAGGATGCTTTTATTTTCCTTTTGAGGCAAGGAATCAATGCATGGCTGAGGCTGGCTGTGAACTTGTGGATCTTCCTGCTTCAGCTTCCTGAGCAGCCAGAATTACAGGCCAGTTCTCAATGCAGTCCAACCCCCCTGGTGCTGCCCTGGAGTTTGGGAAGCTCAGGTTTTGGGGGGAGCCTGGGTGGGGAGGCAATGCATGGAGCAAGGTGTGAATCCATGTAGAACCCCCTACCCACCCCCAACCTGAAGAGCCCAAGACAGAGCTACTGGGCCAAGGTGACCAAGGAAAACCCCAGTAAGGGGGAAGCAGGAATGACCAGACAGCAGCCCCTGGATCCATGCATGTGGGTAAGAGTGGACAAAAGTGTGAAAGCTGAGCAGTGTAGGGGAGATGGGCACATCTGTGGGAGGGCGCAGGAGAAGTTCCCCTTGCACTAGAGGTAATTTGAGTGCTGAAGCAAGTTCAGGAGGCCAGGCCTCGGGGCTGGTCCCTGCCCCCACCTGACTCCTGGGGACTCCACATGCCTGGGGCAGGGTTGCTCTGCATCTGCCCTTGTACAACAGAGAGAGGGGGCTTGGGAGGGAGGGGAAGAAGAAAGCTACCCAACACTACGCATCCTGCAGTGGTGTGTAAGAAACTCGGGCTTTCAGGGCAGTCTTAGCCAGTTCCCAGCCTTGGGGTGCTGGTAAAGAATGTTGTTGCTGTAGCCAGTAGGGAGCCTCTGATGGGTCAGGGTGTTATGCATAAGACTGGGCTTCTAGGTAGGGTCTAGGGGGGTAGCCTAGCAGTTGTGCCCAAGTGAGGGAATGAGGGCCCCCAAGGCCAGCTGCTAGAGGGTCTTTCTGGCCAGGCGCCCATCAGCTGCCAGGGACTGAAACCTGAGCAGAACCACAAGGCTTGTGGGAATTTGAGGGGACCAAGAAAGCCCTGAAGAGGGTTCCTGGAGGGGATGGACGCCCCCCCAACCACCACCAGGACACACACATGCAGTTCTGGCTGACTACTCGAGCCACAGCAATTCTTTGTGCTAGCCACCTGTTGCCTCTGAGTTGCAGAGGCTGTTCACAACCACATTGTCATCTCTGTGGCAGTGGACCCTGGCAGGGGACCACAGAATCCACATACCCCTGTCCTAGCCTAGCCAGGGACCATTGAGCAACTTGTCTGGGGAGTGCCAGCAGCAGGAGATATTGGGGACCTGGTTTTTTTCCACCGTTCCCTGTGCCATGTTAGGAAGACGGTATTAGGGATGGGAAGATCTGGGGACCACAGGCCACTACATCTCCAGGGGGACACAGAAACACAGCAGCTGTCCTGGTTAGGCCACAGCTAGTGTAAACTGAGTGTGTGTTGGGCTACTCTGGCCTACAGTTACTTTCTTCAGAACTCTAGGTCCTGGAGGGCAGAGCTGGGGCAGTGACTCAGACACCACCAAGACCAACCAGGGACAGAGACCCCTCATGTCACAGTTGGGAGTTTCATAGATACTGTGGGCTTCCTGCCCCATCTCCCTGCCCCATGCTCTGGAAAACAAGGATCTCACAAAATTGACTACCGCAGGCTCTGAGGGGGGTGCTTTAGGGGGCCATGGGAGACTCTGGGAGGCTCCGGGGGCATCTGGGAGGCACTCGTGGTACACTTCCAAACTAAAGGGACAACTAAATGTTCTCTGTGACCCAGCAATGCTCCCCAGTCTGAAACCATTTTGCTTACAGGAGAGGGGGGTCACTCTCTCTCTGGAAGCCCCTAAGCACAGGACACCCCTTTCCACAATGCACCAGAGAGCATGACCCACCCAGGGACACTGCAGGTCGCAATTCTCAGTTCCCCCAGAGACATTCCAGGCCAGTGGGCCCAGGGAAAGCTATCCTAAAGCTAGAGGCAGGGATGCCACAGGGCTCAGAAGCTTACCTGGGCGAGCAGCCCGAGGGCGAAGAGCAGAACAGAACCCATTGGGACAGCGGTCGAAGAGCTGAGGGCAAGTGACGACTGGGCGACCAGTGGGACTGCGCCTCTACCCCCACACTGAGAGCCACTAGGCTGAGTGACAGCACAAGTGCTCAGAGGCAGCGGTCTGAGAGTGTGCACGTGTGCGGGGGGGCGGGGCCTGAGGGACAGCATGTGTGCCCGGGTGGGGGGTGGGATGAGTTGTGGGCGTGGCTAGAGATGAATGACAGAACTTGTAGGTGGCCTGGATAGCAGCTAGAGAATGAAACGAAGGTGCCAGGGCAGAGTCAGAGCAAAGTGACGGCATATGTGTAGTACTGCAAGGCTGAGGGTCTGAGTGACAGCGTATGTGGTCAGTGCCTGTAAGTGTTGAGGTCAGCATGTGTGTACTGTGGTGGTCCTGGACTGAGTGACAGCATGTGGTGGAACTGGGAGTGGACATAGTGGTCAGTACTCAGCATGCAGTAAGCTGCTGGGGCTGGGGCTGGGGCTGGGGCTCCAGCCACTGGCCAGAGAGGCCCGGGGGTGGGAGAATGGAGGGAACTAGGCTTTGTAGCCCATTCCTTTCATCTTAGCACCTGGGAGTCAGAGGGAGGCAGATCTCCAAGTTCAAGGCCAGATTGGTCTACATAGTGAATTCCAGTTCCCAGTCAAGACTACAGAGATCTGGGCGGTGGTTGCACACACCTTTAATCCCAGTACTTGAGAGGCAGAGACAGGAGGATCCCTGTGGTGAGTTCGAGGTCAGCCTGGTCTACAGAGCGAGTGCCAGGATAGGCTCCAAAGCAATACAGAGAAACCCTGTCTTGAAAAAAAAAAAAAAAACAGAAACAAAACAAAAAAGACTACATACTCTGTCTCAACAGTGTCCCCTGGAGAAGGGGAAAGGGTCACGGTCCCCTGAGCAAATTGAGAGCATGGGAAGAGGGGGGAGGGAGCTACGAGAATGAGAAGGGAGGAAGAGGAAGGATGCAGAGGTCATGAGGGAACAGAAAGGTTGAGTCGGGTGTAGATTAGAAGAAAGGATATGTGATAGGGAGGGTTTTAGTTGGGGGGGCGTGGTAGAGGAGGACGGGAGGGAGAAGGGAACTGGGATTGTCATGTAATTCAATCTTATTTCTAATTCAAATAAAAAATGATAAAAAAGATTGTCTCAAAAAACAAACAAACAAATAAAAAAAACCCAACAAATCAAAACACAAAGAAGTGAAGGGAGAAGACAGGCTGCTGGGAGAGAAAGGAGCAGGAGGGTTAGTGACCAAGTTTGGATCATCCATTCAGTTTTGCCCTTCCAGAACTCACCAGAGGCTCCTGCTTCAAGGCCTTTGCACAAGAGAGGTCTTCCCTGGACAGTATTCAGGGTTTGCTCTTTCCCTGCCTTTAGAGTTAAATCTGATAGCACCCCATGACTACTGGGGTACCCTTGGAAGGTGACCTTTGTGCCATCACCTGAAAGGAGTTCTGGCATAGGACTTCTGGTGTGGTTATGGAATGTCCTGAGAGCTTACTGGCCCATGGAAGGTTTGGGTGAAAGGGAAAGAAGACTGAGCAGGTCTGGAGTGTGGTCCATTATTGGAGGGTTCAGGCCCAGGTCTCACCCCATTGGTCACTGCCCTAGGTTCTGGCCAGAGCTCCTCTGCCTACTCCCTGCATCTGTCTGCATACCAAGTGCATGTGGTAGTCAGGTCCTTGTGGGATACCTTCTCTGATGATAGCATCACTTTCCAATGGTCCTCCCTAACCTCGGTCGGTCCTGGTTGCAATCCTTGTAGCCATGATGGGGTCTCCAAGCCTTGCAGGAAAGGGGTAGAGCAATCCAATGTTGGCAGGCAGACTAAGGTGGATTGCACTGAAGGAAGCAGAAGTCACTGGATCCATGGCTAAAGAGGGGCAGGAAGGGAGGGTGTCTGGTCCCTGCCAGCTGCTTTGCTCTGCTGTACTGGGCCAGGCAGACCCAGGGTGGATTAAGAGATATTTGGTTGATGTCCATACATTATTGAGGTCCCAGACCCTGAATAGAAGGGATGAGGGATAAACCAGGCTAAAGGAGCTCCAGCTGTGTGCCCAGGAGATCTATATATTACCTGAAACCCATCTGCTCAGCCAGGGTTCTGAGCCCCATCCCTGGGGAGTGCCCCAGTGGCCAGAGACTTTAGGCTACTCAGAGCTCTTTATCCTCACTCTCTCCCCCAGGGCTCCACTGGTCCCATAGCTTTAAACACAGTCCATAAGCTAGAGACTCCCAGAACTCACACCATCTGACCCTATGGCCATCCAACCCGAACAGAACTGTGCTATTGTTCTCAGTCCAG